ATGTGGTCCACATTGATGGTCATAATGCTGAATCCCTAGACTGACGGAAAGGGTCAATGTACGATATAAACATTTCTTCCGTTTTATTGCAATGCAAGTAATTATTGGAAAACAACATTTTGTTGCATACACTTAAACTATAAAAATGATTTAACCAGTGAATTTTTTAAATATGTATTTTTACTGATTTTAGAAAGGAAAGAATAGGGAGAGAAAGATAGATATACCTATGATGAGAGTCATTGATCAGCTGCCTCCTGCAGGCACCCCCACTGGGGACTGAGCCTGCAACCTAGGCAGTTTCCCTGTCAGGGAATCAAACCACGACTTCCTGGTTCATAGGCTGATGCTCAACCATTGGGCAACATCAGCCAGACTAATCAGAGAATCTTTAATTATTAAATTCCAAATCATGGAAAATCTAGAAAATTATTTTGGATGGCTCTAATTTATATGCCAACACTAGAAATTGCTTTTTTAAAATTCTATTTTGGATTAAAGCTGAATAAAAGCTAATATCTTGAAATGTGTTCTGATACAAAAATCACCTCTTGATTAGCAAGAGGTCCAGTGTCAATATTTTTAAACCTTTTCTTTTTCAGAGTTTACATTTTACCACCTTTTGAAAAAATAAATTTGATGCTCTTGAATGTAACAAGAAAAGGAAAGAGGAAATAAACGTTTAAACAACACTTTCCTTTGGGAATGGTTCAAGTAATTTGTAGTGCTTGACTGCAATGGTTGAGAAAAAAAGATACATTTTTGTGAAATTCTAATGAGATTTGAAGAGGTCTGAAATTATTGGTTGCTGTTGGTAAATTGTTGTCTTTGTCTTTTATAGGAAAGAGGAATGGCATAAAATGATGTCCTTACCTGCCAGGAGTGAGCATTCAATGCAATAGCATTCATTTATAGCATCTATATTAATCTTCATAGTTAAAATACATTTTTCCTTATCTTTCTTGTGTATTCAATTTTATTCATATTTTTCTACAACATTTTAAGCCCCCAAAATTCTTTTTCATAGCTCTAAATAAAGTATAATAAAAAATATATTGCTTCCAATGAAATGAAAATTGTGGAGTTCATTTATCTCTGGTATATATTGGAAGAGGGAACTTTTTAATGTACATATCTGATCCCACCACCCTTTTATAATCCTTGAAAGTTGTCTTCATAAAAATCCAACTATTTTCTAGGGATTATAAAATGAATGGGGCCCTACTTACCACTCTAAATTATTTCCCAAATTAATTTACTTTTCACATTGCATGATTTAGTCTTTCAGAATTACTTAAATTTATAAAACATAATATTATTTCCAAACTTCATGAATATACACATGCTGCTTCTTTTAGATCCCCTCCTTTTATTATCTATGCGAGTTCTTCAATTTTCTGAAAACATAACTCTAATATATCCTTATTCTAAAATAATACCTTTTGTTAACTCAACACCAATCCCATATTAGATTTCAATTGGATCACCTGTTTTCAGGGTACACTCGTAGTATCCTGTGTAGTTATGTGGCCAACACTTAGAATGCTGCAATTTCATTAGCATTAGTGGGCCACATTGCTAATAAGTTTGGAGCTCCTTTCTTTTATACTAGAGGTCCAGTGTACAAAATTTGTGCATGGGGGAGGGGTTGTACCTCAGACTGACCTGCACTCTCTCCAATCCGGGACCACTGGTTGCTAACCACTCACCTGCCTGACTACCCAATTCCCCTAACTGCTCCCCTGCCTGCACGATCACCCCTAAGGGCCTCTGCCTTCCTGCTTGGTCACCCCTAATGGCCCTCCCCTGCCAGCCTGATTGCCCCAACATGCCTATGGCTGGGGTTCCTCAGCCTGGCCTGTGTCCTCGTGCAGTCCTGGAGCCCTCAACTAATGCAGTGAGCCTAAGGCAGCAGTCAGATATCCTTATCTCTTATATGGAGGCCGGAGAGGCTCCCGCCACTGCTGCTGTATTTTCCAGCCATGAGCCCAGCTCAGGGCTTTGGCTGAGCGACACTCCCTCGATGAGAGCACACTGACCACCAGGAGGCAGTTCCTGCATTGAACGTCTGCCCCTGGTGATCAATGTGCATCATAGTGACTGGTTGTTTCACCAGTTAGTCAATTTGCATATTAGCCTTTTATTATATAGGATGGAAGGGACTGACAGAGGTCAGAGGGGATGGACATGGACACAGACAAAAGTGTGGTGATGGCCAGAGTTGTGGGGTAATGGGAGACATCTATAATAGTGTCAGCAATAGAATAAAAACAATAATGATATACGACTACACTACATACCTACCGTGTTTCCCCGAAAATAAGACATTTTTCGAAAATAAGACCTACATACAGGTTTCCTTCTGAGTGAAATATAAGGCATCCCCTCGAAAATAAGCCCCCCCCCCCCCAGGCTAAACATGAGAGATTTGGTCCACTGATTCTGAAAGAAATTGAGTCACAAGAAATTCATCAGGAAATTCAGGAATTGGATTGTTATGATGATGTTCTAGAAGATAATGACATGATTGTCATTGAATAAATGAGTAAATTCTTGATACTGTAGGATTCACAGTTTGTCTGGTTTGTATTGATAACTACCTTACTACCATACCGTAAACAGGTAATAAATTTCCTTTATTTTCATTTAACAATAAATGTGTACCGTATTCTTTTTCATGGAAAAATAAGACACCCCTGAAAATAAGATCTAGTGCATCTTTGGGAGCAAAAGTTAATATAAGACACTGTCTTATTTTCAGGGAAACAAGGTATTAGTAAATTTAAAAAAGCTTCAGAACCCCTTGAAGGCTGGATTTGTTCTTTTCTAGAGCAGTGTTTCCCAAACTTTTGACATATGTGTACCCCTTCTATAATTTTCGTAATGCTGAGTACCCTTTGTACTTATGAGAACGTAGAATTAGGTGCAGCTAAGCATGGTGCAGTGCATATCCCCACCAAACTCCGGTGCAACGCGTACCCCCACCAAACTCTTCCCGTACCCATGGGGGTACGCGTACCACACTTTGGGAAACACTAGAATGGAGTGAGCAAAGCCAGGAGGGGATGTGGGAGCGCCTTGATATGGTTTCTTCTGTGATGGTGTCACCCCACTCCTTGGAGGAGAGGACCATTGTTCGCTCCGGTTCTGAGACTAACCTTTCACCAGGGCTTTTCCAAGCCTCTGTATCCCTTTGCCAGGATCCGGGAGAGAGGCAGGTCTGTAGGTCTCATGAACACATTTTGCATCTATGACTCTACAGCTCATCTCTCCTCAGTGGGAATTGTCACTGAGAACTAGGGTTCCCAGGCCTAATTTTTAAAAAGAATTCTCCATTGCTTTTTAAATATATATATTTTATTAATTTTTTACAGAGAGGAAGTGAGAAACATCAATGAGTGAGAAACATTGATCAGTTGCCTCCTGCACCCCCCCCCCCCCGCCCCCACTGGGGATGTACCTGCAACCACGGTACATGCCCTTGACTGGAACCGAACCTGGGACCCTTCAGTCTGCAGGCTGACACTCCATCCACTGAGCCAAACTGGTCAGGGCCTTCCTTGTTTTTTAAAGTGTCGTTTTTCCCAGATGCATTTTTTGCTGTTTTGAAATCTCTAGCATTCAATGGCATTCTTTGCCTTCCAGCAAGTGGCTTAGATTTTTATTTTTTCATCCTGTCCTGACTTTGGGCATGGTGTGGCCAAAATAGGAAGAGAATCAAATTCTGTGGTTCTGGGCTGGCTTCACATCGTTCAAATGGAGCCACAAGTAATCAGACAAAAGATAGGGTTCAGATAACTGTTCCTCTTTATTTTATAAAGGGGAAGGATTCCCAGAAGCAACTGGCAGGTGTTTGTTTGTTTGTTTTTCTTAATAATATAATTCACATATCATAAAATTCACCCTTTTAAAGTGCACAATTTATAGTTTTTAGTGTAGTCACAAGACGATGCAATAATCAGCACTAATTAATTCCAGAACATTTTCATCACCTCAGAAGTAAGCCCTAGCCCTAGTCGGTTTGGCTCGGTGGACAGAGCATCAGCCTGTAGACCACATGTGTCAAACACAAGGCCCTCGGGCCAAATCCGTCCCGCCAGGCCTTGCAATGTGGCCCGAACCGCGCTGTCATCACTGCACTCCACTGCGTTTCCATCACAATGACAGTTTATGACTGTTCAGTAAACCATTCGGCCCACGATTTAGGCTGGATTTTAGATTTTGGCCCCTTCTCTGATTGAGTTCGACACCCCTACTGTAGACTGAAGGGTCCTGGGTTCCATTCCCGTCAAGGGCACATGCCTGAGTTGTGGGCTCAATCCCCAGTGCTACCAGAGGCAGCCGATTGGTAGTTCTCTCTCATCATTGGTGTTTCTGCCTCTTTCTCCCTCCCCTTTTCTCTCCAAAATCAATAAAAAAAAAAATTTAAAATCATTAAAAAACAAACAAACAAACAAACAAAAAAACACCCTATACTCACTAGCAGTCATTCCCGACCCTCCCACTACTCATTTCCTCCAGACCTAGACATCTGCTAATTATTCAATATTTTCTATTCCATAGAGTTGCCTGTATTGGACATTTCAGATAAATGAAACAACACAAGTATGTGGTCTTTAAAAAATATATATATATGTTTTTATTGCTCTCAGAGAGGGAGAGAGAGAGAGAAACATCCATGATGAGAGAGAATCATTGATCAGCTGCTTCCTGCATGCCCCACACTGAGGATCAAACCTGGAACCCAGACATGTGCCCTTGACTGGAATTGAATCCAGGACTCTTCAGTATGCAGGCCAATGTTCTATCTATTGAGCCAAACTGGCTAGGGCAGGCTGTGGCCTTTTATGACTGCCTCTTTTCATTTAAAATAATGCTTTCAAGACTCATCCATGATGTAGCATATATTTCATTCCTTTTTATGGTCAAATAATATTCCCATTGTGTGGATATACCACATTGTATTTATTCATTCACCAGTTGATGAGCCTTTGGTTCTGCCTTTTGGCTATTATGAATAATGCTGCTGTGAGCATGCGCATACAAGTTTTTGTGTAGACATATGTTTTCATTTCTGTTAGGTATACACCTCAGAGTGGAATCGCTGAGTCACACGGTAACTTTAGTCTTATGTGAAAATGCCCAACTGTCTTCCTAGTAGCTGCAGTATGTAAAAAATCCTACCAACAATGTATGAGTTCCCATGTGTCCACATCTTTGCCCACACTTATTATTGTCTTTGATTTTAGCCATTTTAGTGGCTGTGAAGTGGCGGGTATCTTTATTGTGCCTTTGTTTGTGGTTCATGTCAAGTACTGGCCACCCATCCCAACAGGGTGGGGGCTCTGTGAGTTATGGCATCTCAGAAACCTACAGCTGATTATTTTTTTAACTCCTAATGTGGAAGGACTGTGCAAAGAAGGAGGTCGTTCAGACACCTAGAAAGGTAGTAATAGCCAGACCTTCCCTTGTGCAGGTCTGGAGGCTGTCGCCATCGGAGAGGTTCATGAGAACACGACTCTGCCCTGCGGCAACATCTCGGCAACCAGCGGCCCGGTGACCTGGTACCGGAATGACTCGGAGCCCGTCTTCCTCCTGTCCTCCAATGCCAGCCGCCCGCCAGCCCAGCCCCGCTTCTCCCTGGTGAACGCCAGCTCCCTGCGCATCGAGGCGCTGAGCCTGCAGGACGAGGGCAACTACGCCTGCTGGGAGGCCCTGAAGGAGACTCGGCGGTTCCAAGTGTGGCTGCAGGTGGCCAGTAAGTGGAGTGGGAGGGCCTAGGGCCGGCGGGTGAGGTGCACAGAGCAGTGGACAGGAGTCCATGGCCTGGGTTTCATTCTGGGCTCTGCAACCTGCGAGCTGAGTGACCTCTTGCATCTGTATTTTCTCATCTGTAAAATGGGGATAAAAAGAATTCTTTTCCGCATAGAATTGCGTGATGAATAGATGCCAGTCGTCCTATATAAAGTGCTATAAATGTTTCCTGGCATAATAGCTAGCTATTCCGTTGAGCTTGTTGTTAATATCATTATATTATACAACAAAGTCAGGGTGCAACAACAAATTGAGTTAGACTACCTGAGTTCCAGTCCTATGGATGTCACTTATCATTTTTAACAAGGAGCTTGATATCCCTGAACTTCGGCTTTTTTTTTTTTTTTTAATGTATTAGGTGGGGATAATACATCGCATACTTTACCAGGTATGTGCTCTTAGGTTGTGGTGCTTAGCACAGGGCTTAGCCTGGGTTTCTACTACTACTGTGCTTTCCAGAAGTAGTGTCCATATGCATGCATGATTTTAGACCATGCTGTTGGTAAAGTACAGCCCGTGGGCCTTATCCAGTCCGCTGCCTATTTTTGTTTTGCCATATTATTTTACATTTTTTATACAGTTGGGGGGGGAATCTAAAGAAGAGTAATATCTGTGACATAGGAAAATTATTTTTTTAAAATATATACTTTATTGATTTTTTTCAAAGAGGGAAAGGAATAGTTAGAAACATCAATAAGAGAGAATCATGGATCAGCTGCCTCTTGCACACCCCGTACTGGGGATGTGCCTGCAACCAATGTACATGCCCTTGACCGGAATCGAACCCGGGACCCTTCAGTCCACAGGCCAACGCTCTATCCACTGAGCCAAACCAGTTTCAGCATTATGTGAAATTCAGATCTCAGGGCCCGTAAATGAGGTTTTGTTGGATCACAGCCACATTTACATATTTACATATTCATTGCTTTTAGCACTGCAACAGCAGTGCTGAGTGGCTGTGACACAGATTGTAGGGCCCACAAGGCCTCAGATATTTATCCTCTGTCCCTTCACAGAAGTTTGCTGTGTAGTTTAGTAGGAATACTCGTCTGCTCACGCTGCTGCTCCCTAAGTTTCCTCATCTGTAAAGTATAGCATTTACTCCTTCCTTTCCTCAGCATGTATTTGCTGAGAGCCTGATGCCAGTCACCGTTGTAGGCACTGGGCCAGGGGACAAGGTTCCCACCCTTCCGGAGCCGACGTTCTAGGTGCCGCCAGGTGTGCAAGGTTTAAATCTAGGTCCTGTTGGCTGTTGTCTTTGTGACCTTGGGGAAGTCATTGAACTCATTCAGCCTTGACTTTCTTGTCTGTGGAGCCTAAGCACAGATCCACCGCATCTATTCATGAGATCACCCTGCTCAGAGCTAGACTCACAGGATGCATTTGGTCCAGGGTGCTCTGATCCGCTGGTTAGGCAGGTGATGGGATTCCTGTGTGTGGGAAAAAAGTGCATCTCAAGTTCCCAGCCACCAGTGGCTGGCTGTGTGCCCAGATCTCATGTGTCCCATCTCTTCCCTGACATGGTTGATAACCTAGTCTCTTAAGGAGGAACGTTTGGAAACATTCTCACGCGTCCTTGCGTGCTCGGAAGAAAATATTCGAGATGTGGCCAGTTGTTATCTGCAAGTGACTGGAGTGTGGGACTGCAGAGAGCCAAGCAGCGGCGTGAGGGTGGCGTCTCCCTCCTCCCGCTTGGATCTCTGCTTACAGGTCGGTGGGCGTTGGGCAAATCTGCCTTCTAGGAGTCAGGGTTTCCGGATGCCTGGGCAGAGGCACTCTGTTTGGTATGGGCACCACTAGGTGATTTTTTAAAAAACATATATTTTATTGATTTTTTTTTTTTTAACAGAGAGGAAGGGAGAGGGATAGAGAGTTAGAAACATCAATGAGAGAGAAGCATTGATCAGCTGCCTCCTGCACAACCCCCACTAGGGATGTGCCCGCAACCAAGGTACACGCTCTTGACCGGAATTGAACTCGGGACCCTTCAGTCCGCAGGCCCATGCTCTATCCACTGAGCCAAACTGGTCAGGGCTACGATGTAACTCTTGTTATTCGTCTCAGGACAAAAAGTCCCCGCGCTGATACCGGTTAACGTAAGGGTGCCGTTGAGGAGTCTTGCCGCTAGGATTGGGGGTACAGAAATCCCAGGGTCCAGAGCAGTTCAGCGCTGCCATGGCAGTTTATGTCGCTGACTCATCCATCCCCTCCTGCCTCCAAACTGGGGTGGTGTGAGGTTAGAACAGCTGTGCTTCTGCCTGCAGACAGGCTGGAGGAGTGGGGACGGCGGCACCGACCTCAACACATTCCGGTAGACTTTGTGCTTCTCTCAAGATAGCATCTCTCAGGCCTCGGGGAGCCCGGTGATCCTGCGAGGGATTAGCCCCTGAAAGGCCGCAGTCAGGGTGCACAGAGCCAGACTCTGTCTGCTTTCCTCAGGCCACGCCGGGGTACGGGGAGCATCGGAGCCGCCGGTGGCGCACGGGCCCCGGTGGATGTAGGTGGGGATTGGAGTGTGGAGGTGCTTTTCTGCCCGGTGATGCGGCTGTCACTCCAGACTCACAGGAGACAGAGTCACAGGAAGGCCCGTGCTTCCCTCGTCACTGGGCCCATCCCATTGGCACTCATTCTCTGTTGGCAGTGGTGGCACTGGGCCTCATTACAATCTGAGGTCCCAGGGTAAGGAGTGCAGGGCACCCTGAGGACAGATCCCTGACCCCATGGGAAGACAGGTGATCCTCGCCCAGAGGTGGATTCATCTGAGTCTTGCCAAGCTCAACAGAAGCAGCAACGGGTGCTTTTAACAGGCTGCAGGCCTCTGGGTTCCCACTCTTTGGACAGAATTGACAGTCACTGGGGATGGGGCAATGAGCCAAAGAATGTGGGTGGCCTCTGGAAACTGGAAAGATCAATGCAATGAATTCTCTTCTATTTGAAAATGCAAACAAATAAGCAAAAAACACAAAAGAACCACAGTGGGTTGACATTGATTTTAGCCAAGTGAGACCTATGTTGGGCTTCTATCTACAGACTGTAAGGAAACACATTTGTATTATTTATGCTGCTAATTTGTGGTAATTTGTGATAACAGTGACATAAAAGTAATGCAGTTATGCTAACCTTCTCAAAGTGGCAGATTAAATACGATAAGTACTTATTCCTACTGCTTCCTAAAACACTGAAATAATAGAGAAATTTTAAAGGCTTAGCAAAGCAAAGAGGTCAGGAAAGGAGACAGTAGTAAAATAAAAGGCATATTTAAAGAACAAAAAAGTTATTAAAAATAAAACTGTTATAGAAGATATGAAAATCTTGGCAGAGAAATGAAATCAAATAAATGAACATAAACTGAAAGTCATAAAAGTTAAAATTAAGAACATCTTCAAGAATGTAGAGAAAAAGTACTTAACAATAACAAAAGAGAAAATGTCATAACATTAGAAAATCATTGCCAAAAGTTCCAACAGCCAAATAATGAAAATTCTAGAATGACAGAATAGAGAAAAATAGAAGATAAATTTTTTTAAAAAATTTTAAAAATTGTCCAGACTGAAAAGAGAGAGCAAAATGGACTAAACTTGACTCACATTTAGGCAGAACATCTTGCAAGTTAAGAACAGTGGAGAAGATTATAATATTCTGAAAGCTTTAACTTGAAAGGGAATTAGAACTGGAAAGAGTATCAGACTTCTCAGTAGCAACATTAGAAGGTAAAAAGAAAAAAAAAGAAACAATGTCACTGAAATGTTGAAGGAAAGTGATTTTTACACCAGATCTAACTATTAATATCAATTAGGAAAAACAGAGTATTTTAAAAATCAAAGTCTCAAAAAGTTCACTACCATATTTTTTATGAGAAGCCCCTGAAAAATGTGTTTAATGAAAACAAAGAAGTAAACCAAGAAAAGATGAAAACATGCCCATAAAACAGGGTTTCTACACCAAGAATGCCATAAATGGAACTCCCTAGAATGATGCTAAAATACAATGGGAAAATGATCAAAACATATGGGCTCAGTCAGAGGAAGATAAATATCACATTATCTCACTCATTTGTGGAATATAATGAACAACATAAACGGATGAATAAAAACAGATCCAGAGACAGAGAAGCATCGATTAGACCTGTGCATGGTCCGCAAACTGTGGCTCCAGAGCCCCATGTGGCTCTTTGGCCCCTTGAGTGTGACTCTTCCACACTCAATAGAGTGTGACTCTATTTTGAAGAGGTGGCATTAGAAGAAGTTTAAATTTTAAAAATTTGGCTCTCAAAAGAAATTTCAATCATTTGGCTCTATTGACTAATGAGTTGGCTGACCACTGGATTAGACCATTAAACTCAAAGGGAAAGTAGAGGAGGGTGGGGGTAATGGGGAAGGATCAACCAAAGGACTTGTATGCATGCATATAAGCCTAACCAATGGACACAGACACCAGGGTGGTGAGGGCATGATGGGGGGCGGGCGGGGGGAGTCATGGGGGGGATAAGGACACATATGTAATACCTTAATCAATAAAGAGAAAAAACATATGGGCTCAATTGTTATAGCACTTAAAGAAAACACTCATGGTTAATCTAATTAAATCATGCTGTAACAACATTGGAAATTTAGGGTAGGGTAGATGTGGTGGAGGTGTAGTGGGTAACAAGAGTTAAAACAAAACAAAACCAAATTGGATTTTCATCTACTTCAGGTAAAAGCAAATAGATAATGTTCCCAAATGGAAAAATCAAGAAGCAATTTAAGAATGGTTAGGGATTTGCATATAAATAACAGTTTGAACCACCCAAGAGGGCAGGGACTTCTCATGTTTCTAGATTTAATTTAATTAAAAACAGACTAAGTGGACTACCTGAGAATTCTTTTTTTTTTAATTGTAAATATCTACCATATAGTTGTTCAAATAATGTGGGCAATCCACTATGCAAATGATTGACATGTGAAGCTGGGAAAGGATGAGATTGTTAGTAAGCAGTGGAAAGGTGATGGGCCTACTGTATGTACTCATTGATCACACATAGCCCAAATATTCCAAGACAGTCAAGATTTCAAGATTTTTCGGGTAAGAAAATAAGTATTTGAAAAAAGAAAAGATATTCTACTAAATGATGAAATCTATCTTCTTTGAACTCCTCTAGGCCAGAAGCTGTAGGAACCTAGCTATTTAAATTCATTCTGAGAGGTACCAGTGAGTTGAGCATAGGACACATCACAGAACTGGCCTGATCCAAAGTTAGGAATATACTTTTTCTGTGAAACTTTTTCAAAAGAAGCAACTGGACACTTTTTAAAAAGGTGACTTCTTATTTAAACAAAACAAGAATTTGTTTGTTGTACTTACTGTGGCTTTTGAAACACACTGGCTCAGCAAAGAAGATGTTCATGAAGACACCTCCAAGAAATGCAGATCTCAAATAATATGCATTAAGTTCAGGTTCCATATTGCTGACATGTCTCACCAATAAGGAGCCAAAATAAAAATTAACTTCAAGGATTGAATTGTGATAGATTAAATTATTACCTTTTAGGAGTTAAGAGTCTTCTGATAAACACATTGAATCAAGAAATATGAGTAATTAACTCTTGGGAAGTGGAAAAATGATGACCACACTTTAAATATTAAACCCAATCATGATTTGAAAGTTATATTTTGTATAAAACTGAAGTTGTAGTATTGAATACATGAGTTCATATTTTTGTAATCTAAATGACCTTGTTCATCAATGTGTATGTATATATCCTATATAATAAAGATGTTATATGTAAATTGACCATCACTCAAGCACACAAGATGGCTGCCCCCATATGGACACAAAATGGCCAGCAGGTAAGGGCAGTTAGAGGGGACTCAGGCCTCAAGGGAGGGCAATTGGGGGGCAGGCCTGCCGGGGAGGACAGTTGGGTGGGGGGCAGGCCTGCAGGGGAGGGCAGTTGGGAGGAACCAGGGCAGCAGGGGAGGGCAGTTGGGGGGACCAGGTCAATAGGAGAGGGCAGTTAGGGGTGACCAGGTTGGTAAGGGAGGGCAGTTGGGGTTAATCGGGCCAACAGGGGAGCAGTTAGGAGTCAATCAGGCTGACAGGGGAGTGGTTAGAGGCAATCAGGCAGGCAGGCAGGTAGGCAGGCAAACAGTTGGGAGCCAACAGTCCTAGATTGTGAGAGGGATCCCAGATTAGAGAGGGTGCAGGTTAGACTAAGGGACACCCCTCCCCACCCCCCATGCATGAATTTCATGCACTGGGCCTCTAATATATATATATATATATATTTCAAGAACAAGCACAACTACTGAAGTAGAGCTCACAGATGTGCTGTGTATCCAAGGTGAACTCTCTTCATAATATGGAATGATAGAAAATTTCATAATATAAACAGCGTGTAAGACACCTTCCTCATAATCTCCCTCTTCCTCCCACTAAAATAATTCATTAAGGTTCCATCTTGCTTGACAAAGTGGCTCTTGAATAATAAGACAACTAAATGCTTTTTTTATAATTTTTAAAGCAATACATATATGAATGAATTTAGAATAGCATAAGAACTTTTTCAGAATTAATGATATATCCTATTTTTCATTTGGTAAATAGTTGCAAAAGCCTATTCACCTATTGCTGAAAAAAAGATGAGTAATATTTAAAATGAAGATAAGAATTATCAAAATAATTATATTTCTTTTATTTATATCATTTTGATAAAAAGAATGAAATATTTTATCATGACAAGAGCTATAAACACCATAAAAATCCCATAAAAAGGGATTAGTTTGCAGTTGTTAAATAATTATTCAGTTCAATACACACATTATATTTTGGTGGGCTGAAAACTTCCTTGGCTTAATTCTCTTTGATTTGAGTTCATACACGTTCCTGAAATGGAAACACTAGAGATTTCTTTTTTATTCAGTCAATAAAATGCATAACATTTCACTGCTGAGAAAACCTGTCATGTGCAGAATGAACAAATATTACACAAAATCCCTTTGATAAGAATTCACCTCTTCTAAAATAATTATTTCACCCAGTCACTTTGTCCTATATGAAACTGCAATGATTTTGTGTGGAATGAACAGTGTCAAAAAAAAAAAAAATCAACAAAAGGAGAATAAAAACAATTCTTTATTTTTATCCAAATATATTAGACTTTATAACTTATTTAGTCTCAACAAAAACGTAGAGTCACCATATATCAACCAAACCAAGACACTGGAAGAGTGAGAGGGAGAGCTGTTAGTAATTACACAGGTACAACAGGACAAGCTGGGACTCTCCAGGGAAAATGGGACCTATGATCAACTTAGCAATAGGTGTCAAACTGCAATTACGTGCAGAAATCATATCTTTCCCATACATATGTGGTAAAAATAAATAGCATTCACTAAGAAATATTAATTTTGTCAAGAGTCGTTGTTCTTTCTCATCATCCAAGTCTCAGTTTATGTATCACTCCCTCCCTAAACCAGTAACTTCCTCTAAAATAATTACTATTTCACCCAGTCATTTTTTTTTTCATTTTACCCTGTTTTCCTATCCTCAAGTACTATGTTACTATCTGAAATAATCTCATTTGGTTTTTGTCTGTCTCACGGTGTCCCTCCCCATTCTCCTACGGATATGCTTCGTTCAAATGGGCAGAGACCTCCTCTGACTTAGTCATACCCAAATCCCCCAGGAGTGAGAAATGCCTGGGACATAAAAAAACAAAGCATGCAAAAAAAAGTTAAATGAATTAATGAAAACCTTTGGAGAGTTTATTTTGGGGCCCATATTCTACTTGGTACCAAAGACAAAATAACTATCCAGATTAAATTATGGCTCTATTTAGTTTAAAGTGTTTGGGCTAAATGATCTATGCAGTTTCTTCCACTGGTAATAAATATACTTCCCTCCGCCCCCCTCCCCCAACTCCTCTTTCTGCTACTATTTCATTTCCTATATCCAGCAAAAAAGGAAAGTTCAGAGAGTAAGGGGTAGGGCAACCAGCTCTATTCACAGTGGATGGATGCTCAAGGTTGATCATTTTGCCAGTAACAATTCCCTGGTATATGTTTGCACCTACAGAATTTGGTTGATACAGAGGTAGCCAGAAGGTGTTCTTGTAGCCAATGATTGAATTGTTGATATAATAATTTTCCAGTAAGGGAATTATCACAAGATTGCTAAAAACAGGAAATGATGCTCGCCAAACCAGCCATTAAGGATTTGCAGGTTAATGAGGACAGATAGATTAATTATGAGCAGACTTACACTGCAATGTTCAAAAAGTTTTATATAGGAAAATCCACTATATTCTGATAAAGAACACTTATAAATTTTCATTAAAATATCTGCATTCCAAATCTTTATTTTGTAGGTGTTCTGTTGAGCAATAATTTGGATTCTGTAATGAATTATAATATAAAACCTTAAGGTTAAGAAATTGTACTGCTAAAATTATTTTGGTAGGCTAGGGATCCAACATACCAATGAAATCAGTATTTAACCAACCAAACAATAACAGCAAAAAGAAATAAAATTAAAAATAAATGAATGGGTAAAATACTTTCAATTCATCAAATTTAAAATTCTCTCAAGTTTATATAAAACATTCATCACAAACTGAGTGACAGGTGTTGGATTGGATAGGTTCTCCAGGTAAAGAAACAAAGTCTGTCCTATTACAACAAATGCCATTAACAAAGAAAGGCATAAGAAGCCCTGACTGGCCAAAACTGGTTTGGCTCGGTGAGTAGAGCGTCTGTCTGCAGACTAAGGGGTCCCGTGTTCCATTCCGGTCAAGGGCATGTACTTGGATTGCAGGCACATCCTCGGGGGGGAGGGGGTGCAAGAGGCAGCTGATTGATGATTCTCATCGATGTTTCTAACTCTCTGTCCCTCTCTCTTCCTCTCTATAAAAAATCAATAAAATATATATATTTTTTAATTTAAAAAAAAAAAAGAAGAAGCCCTAACTGGTTTGGCTTAGTGGATAGAGTTTCAGCTTGTGGACTGAAGGGTCCCAGGTTAGATTCTAGTCAAGGGCATGTACCTTGTTTGCGGGCATATCCCCAGTAGGGGGTGTGCAAGAGGCAGCTGACCAATGTTTCTCTCTCATCCATGTTTCTAACTCTCTATAAAAGAATCTTCCTCTCTGTAAAAGAATCAAAAAAAAATTTTTTTAAAGAAAGGCATAAGAAAAGAGAATCGGAGGGGACACTCTGTAAACTGTATCAATGTCTATCTGCTGAAACTAACACACTCAAAAAAGTGTTGAATGGAAACCGTAATAAAAATAAATAAAATTAGCCCAAATTGCATGGCTCAGTGGTTGACTTAGAAACCAGGAGGTCATGGTTTTAATTCCCAGTGAGGGTATATATCCAGGTTGTGGGTTCGATCCCCAGCGTGAGGCATACAGAAGGCAGCTGATCAGCGATTCTCTCTCATCATTGATGTTTCTACTTCTCTCTCTCCTTTTCCCTTCCTCTTTGAAATAAAGAAAAAATATATTTAAAAATTTAAAATTAAAAGAAATCTCTGAAAAAAAGACACTCAATTAGACATATATATTTAAAGCATAAATATTTATCATCTTTTTCAGTGTATTGTGTCTCTGCAAGGAAAAGTTATTGGTTTTTGAAATGACAGAAGTTTCAGAAACAAAGTTAAACTCGACTCAGTTTGAAACAGAAACCATTAATTATGTAATTTCACACATTCTCTGCATTCAGTATAACTTGGCTACTGACTATCACAATGACTCAGCATTTGTTCAGAGCTCACAGTTGTGTTAAATCATATACGAAACAGGTGTCCAGATTTTAATTAGTCCAGGACAGGACCAATTCTCAAATTAATTTATCTTTATTTCCCCCCAGTACTAGCAAGTTTTAAAAATTGTAAAAAATCTTCAACATATTGATATGCTCTAAAATTTACAAGTTAAATATATAACGGTTATGTTTTGGCAGGGCCATAAATAGCACAGACTCCCTCATATAAAGTATAATTGAAAACCTTTCAGGATCTTGAACAGCAAAAAACATTAAATTAGATTTTTAAAATGACAAATAACTTAAGGCTAACTATTTGGTATTAATAATTAATGCCAGTAGCCTTCCTAGCCTAATAAAGTAAACATGCACAAGAACTACAACTCTGAACAAAACATCACAATTTTATCAGATAAATATGTATGTATGCATGTGTGTGTTCATATATATATATATACATACATATGTGTATGTACATATACATACATATATATATAGTTTTATCGCCCTGAAAGATATCTTATTCATGTTCAGCTTAATTTACATGTTAGAAATATCATGGAGAATACCACCCCTTTAAATATATATATATATATATATTTCCAGAATATACAATATAAATATACCATATATAAATCATGCCATAAAACTAAATGCAAAATTTGCACATTATTGCATGCATGATGTGATAATACATGCCCGTTAGTAAGAATTTCCTTATGAGGCCCTCCCTTCACAACTTGTTTGCTTTCTGCACAGAGGCAGTACTTGGGAAATAAGGCTTCTCAAATAAGCATATCTGACTGGGGAGGCAAGGTACCTTTCAGATTCTGTAGAGAGGATTCCCTCATCAGCCAAATATTAGATTATTACTAAATCAAACAGTAAATAATGCCTAAGAGGGTGTTTGTTATGTGAATCGGTCCGAGTTCATTTTTCTTAATTTGGCCGGGAGATTTCCCTCCATCCTGGGTCCTCCCCCAGCCATCCTTTGAAGCTTTGGTGGCAGGTCAGCCACTGACTGGCTCATGGGATCAGACAACATCTTGGTGGCTTTTGATACCAGTTTTTCTTCTGAGTTGCCAGGAACTGAGCTTATTCGTTGAAGTTTCATGGGCAAATCTCCCAAGCTGTAGGCTTTTTCTGAGGTTGTAGAACTCATCCTCAAGAGTTTCCTGGGGAAGTCTTCCCTTCCAGTCATTTTCTGCAGCTTCGATGGAAGCTTTGTGCTAATGTCATCTAGGCCATCTAAGCAATCCACAGAATTATGTCTCTCTTTGCTGTTAGTGATGGCTGGTGCTATTAAGGGGGACGACATAAGAAGCATTTCTTCCTGATCTTTCACACTGTACGGTGTGGTGGGGACTTCAAATGTTGCATGGAACTGGGAGTAATCAACTTTAAAGAACCCTTCTTCTAAGGAGATTACAGGGAAAAAACGGTGACCCCAAAGAACTTCATCTTCGGTATATGATGTTCGAGCTTGACAAGTCATCCCTGAATGCAAAAAAAAAAAAAAAAAAAAAAAAAAAAAATCCTTGATAAAAGTTTACGCATAGTGGAAGCACAAGTGAAGCTAGATTGAACTAAGGAATTTATCTTGGTTTAGTATTTAAGCTTTGGAATGCCCATCTGAGTAGAATAAGTAACAGAATATTTACTACCAATTCCACAACCAAATAGCTTGTGAAAATTACCTAAAGCTCTCTTGGTTTTCTCTTTTACAAAGTAGAGATAACAACAACTTCCTTTATAATACTATTTTGAGAATTTGAGATAAGTGAAGAGTACAGAACAAAGCTTAGTATTTAGGCAATGCTCAGAAAATTATGACTACTGTGCTTATCTAACTTCTATAGTGATCACTTGCAATTCCTGTTCATCCTGTAAATTAGTTATACTGAATTAACATAAGGAAAAATTCTGACATATTAGTCATTTGTCCCATATGAGAAATACAGAAAATTAAATTTTAAAATCACTAGATATCAAATAGCAACTCTCTTTTTTAAATGGTCAATTAAATATTCAAAATATGTTAAAATATAGAAAAATGCATTACTTATATTTGCAACATTTAGAGTTTCTCAATATTTTCCACCTATTATCTCTGATAACATAACAGCAGGAGAGACTGACTGTGGACTTGGTGTATTACAAAGGCCTGCAGCAAGCTGAGTGACTAAATCCACTATCATACTTTGGTAATTATCCCAAGAATATTTGCCAACACTTTAACCTTTGTGTGTTCTGTTGTTTCTTTTACACTTTTATTAGATATAGGTACTCAAACATCAGACATTTCCACTTTAAAAACATCATAGTTTTTATACATGGTTTCACTTCAAAATACTCATATGCAATCAACCTCTGGATAATGACATGAAAGCAATAAAAGTTGGATAACAGGAAAAGGTCTGTGATGGTCACTTTGTGGTTAAAACAATATGTTTAAACTCTGTAGTTTAAACAATGTGCTAACATAATATGCTATTGAGAAACTACTTTGTTTTACGAGTTATCCCAATAATGGTGCCAAAAAATACAAATTCTGATTGAGAAGATTTAACGTATAACTGTTTTCTAAGAACATGCATGCATCATAGTGTTATTCCTTCTAGAATGTGTTATTTTCTATTTCTTACTCTAACCCAAATTATTTTAAAATAATTCATATTTAGATCCATAATTGAAAATGTCACTGGAATCAAAATTAATGCAGAAAAATAGCATTATTCAAAGGGTACGATATGATGCATCACTTAACTGGCAATACAACTGTTTGCATGTTTTAACCAGATTCCAGATTTGAACAAATGTGATGAAAATCAACATGAGCTCATCTCTGTGGAAACTGGCAAAGCAACAGATGTTGCTTCTGGAAATAGCTGGGACTTTTGAATCCTTAGATGAAAAACATTTTTGGGGGGGTGGGGAGGGGAGTGGATTTATTCTGTGAACTGATTCATGGATAAAACCTCTATATATTATTATTTCATCTAATTCATTCCAGTGTCAATATGTCAATCTAAGAGGATAGAAGCAATGTAGGCTAATGCCTTTATTTTTTACTTTTCCCTTTCCTGATTCTGCCTTTCCACCATGCCATTACATCCATCTATTGAACTGAGTCGAATGTTCATTCAAATACGAAGCCTGGATGCTTTTTAATTGAACATGGCAAAGTGAGTTGTTATTTGACAAGTCCTTAATTCATCTTTCAGAATTCTTCTAACTCAGTATATCCTGGTCAGGGGTGGGACATATGTCGCCTACATGAGGTGAGTAGGTGATTGTTAAATACACTATACCCAGGCCAAGGGGGATGTCTGACTGCTGAGACACAGAAACTATCGAACAACTAATAGCTTCTGCACAGTGGAGGCCTTATTGTGACCTTACTATGGCAGGTGGGAGAGAGATTGGGAGTGGGGAGAAGGGGGAGCCTAGGGTGGAGAGTGGGGAGGGAGAGAGAGGATTCTCCTATAATGGTAGTTGTGTTTCATTATGTACACTGTAAACAAAAGGGGGAGGGGAAGCAAATCCTCAATTAAGTCATGTAATCATAATAATAATAGTTAATATCCCATTAGGGCTTACTACGTGCAAGTGTGTTTCTAAGCACTTTCTGCATATTATCTTAAATCCTCAGAACAACTATGTATGAAGGGCTGATTTCATTAGTTTCACATGGACACTGTGACGATTAAATGAATATATATAAATTGCATGCACAATAAGTATTGGCCATCTTTTCCCTGTATTTCTTAAATACAGGCTATGTTACTATTATACAAATTTCACTAATACATGCACTCATACCCACAAACACGACTGCAAAATTCAGCCAAATAATATTTTGTTTTTATTCCTTAAATCTATCATTTTTGCTTATTTTTCTTCAACAGGGCAATTGATGAATAGCTTAGCATGCACAGTATGAGTTATATTACAAAGTAATTTTCTAGACTGCTCTAGGCACTGCTCTGAAGATTATTAAACAAGGTCTGTAGCTGTTTCTTCCCTAAAGTACTTTCAAAATGTCACCCACCCCCCAACATATAATAACCGTAATGTTTACTTGGCATTCTCTGCATGATCTCTACTATCTTGCACTGAACTGAACCCAAATTTAAAGAATAAACTTTTTGAGGAAGCAAATGCTACTTAAAAGAAATCTTGTTAAAGAAAACATAAAGACACTGTGTACACCACGGTTCACTAACACTGACATTGTGACATTAGTCTCCTCAGGGATATAGGTTGCAAAGCTGCTAAGAATATATAATTGCTTCCAGAAACTTTACTTTTCAAATAGATGAAATCTCTTTTAAGCTCAATGTATTCTGTCCAGATAGACTTTGAGAGAAGTTTTGGGCATTGAGTCAATCCAGTATTATTCTCTATTATTCACAAGCAGTTGTTCTTACCATGTGTTCTCATGTACCAGTTTGCTGTTATTGCTCATGCTAGGTCAAAGAATTCTAAAAATAAATAAATAAATAAAAACTGAAAACAAGATGGAAAACACGATTATGTTTGCTGGAAAAACAAGTGTCAATAAGAAGTTTAGTAACAAATATTTCAAGTGGAATAGTTTAGGCTTCTAAGTTCTCAGACGAACAAAAGAAAGGAAAGCCGATTTTTAACCATGACCACTAAAACACATTAGCTCCCAAAAAGAAATGAAGTGCAGGTGCTATAAGGGTCAAAGGTAGGTAGGAAATCCAACAGGGAATTCATGGTCATACTGCTAAAAATGTGTTTGAAAGTCATGGACTTTGAATATAAACTTGAGCTTATTGCTGTTTTAATCACACACTTTTAGTAAGACCTTGGGCATATTATTTCAGTTATTTGAACCTTGACTGTGATAAAATATGGATAGTAAGAAGAGGTAATAATATGTAATTTATAGGTTTATTACAGTTATAAATGATATATTCTATTTAATGAGTATACTATATTAGCTGGTAATAGCTACCAATATTTGGTAGCTATTATCAATCATTATTATTGAGGTTCCAATTAACTAAACGGTCATCTTAGATATATGTCAATTCTTTAGTGACCACTTCATGTCTTAGAATCCACTTAAACAGATGAAGCAAGTTTCACCTTGTTAAGTTCTATTAATTTGATATACTAGACCATGTTGTCTATACTTATTTGGAGATGAAAAAGGCCCATTATTGCACACATTATGAACTTAAGTCTAGCATTGTCGATCTTCCCTGCCCTGCACAAATGTGGCTAACTTTACAGTAGCAATGAAATCTCACAAAATAAATCAACTTCTGCTGTACTCCGTCTAGCTCTCCACTCTCACTTCACATAGAAGAATGACAGAACCTTCCTAGAACACTTTCAACTGACTGCCTTCAGTCCTCTTACCCTGTGGTTGGCAAACTGCTGCTCCCAAGCCACATGCGGCTCTTTGACCCCTTGAGTGTGGCTCTTCACAAAATACCCCGGCCTAGGCATCTATTTTGAAGTGGTGTTAGCCGAAACCGGTTTGGCTCAGTGGATAGAGCATCAGCCTGTGGACTGTAGGGTCTTGGGTTCTATTCCGGTCAAGGGCATGTACCTTCGCTGCAGGCATATCCCTGGTGGGGGGTGTGCAAGAGGCAGCTGGTTGATGTTTCTCTCTTATCAATGTTTCTAACTCTCTATCCCTCTACCTTCCTCTCTGTAAAAAAATCAATACAATATATATATTTTTAAAGTGGTGTTAGAAGTTTAATTTTAAAAAATTTGGCTCTCAAAATAAATTTCAATTTTTGTACTGTTGATATTTGGCTCTGTTGACTAATGAGTTTGCCGACCACTGCCAATGGAAATGTCACATTCTCAGCACTTGGTTTTCTCTTTACCTTTATAGTATCTATTATAACATGCTTCCTTGCATTACCAATTATAGAAACACTAGAGGCCCAGCACAAAATTCATGCATAGGTACGGACTCTAGCAGGGGCCTCCCTCCCTTCCCTTGGCTGGCCCCACCACCCTGGTCGAACTCCCAGACGAGCTTCCAGTCAAGGGGACAATTGGTATATGTACTGCAATTTTATTATATAGGATTAGCAACCTGAATTTATTCATGTTATTGTTTACTCTTGTAAAGTTATGACCTTTAGCTTCCAAAACATCTTAATGTCATAAAGTCATAGACACAATGCAACTTAATCACTGTTGGGGAATACCCCATAATATAAGATTGACATTAAAGAAGATATTTTTCTAAGGAAAAATGTAATGAAATTCTAGCATAAAAGAAAACAGATGACAGTAGAATTTATTTTTGGAGAAGATGATTCCTAGTCATAGAGAAGAAACCCGTTTGAAATACTGTCAGAAGCAACAACACATATGTAAACTTTTTAAAAAATTGTTACATGTAAGTTACAATAATTAAATGTTTAGATTAATCCCTGTTTTTAAAAGATACTCCTAAAACTTTGCTTTAAAATATAAATTCATAACTATTTTGTGTGGTGTGATGGCGGAAATGGGTTGAAATCCTACCCTCCGTTTCTGTGAAAGAAGCTAGGGCTACGTAACTTTTAAACTATGTAATATTGAAACAAAATAAATAAATTGAAACAAGAAACAAACGATAATCCCCAAAATTACTATCATGTCTTCCTAGTTCCTTCAAAATCTAGTTCTAAGCTATCTTTACATTTTATCTCTTCAAAAAATCTTGGCGATAATAATCATAACACATGGTAAACAATAGCAGCCAGGTCCTAAGTGTTTTGAACTAGGTATATCATTGTATCATTCTCTCCACCACTCTAAGAAGTATGTACTATTAACAGTACAGATAACTGCTGAAACCAGTTTGGCTCAGTGGTAGAGCGTAGGTCTGTGGACTGAAAGGTCCCAGGTTCGATTCCCGTCAGGGGCATGTACATTGGTTGCAGGCACATCCCCATAGGGGGTGTGCAAGAGGCAGCTGGTCGATGTTTCTCTCTAATTGACATTTCTAGCTCTCTATCTCTCTCCCTTCCTCTCTGTAAAATATCAATAAAATATATATATATTTTTTAAAAGAACAGATAACATACTGACATATCAGGAGGGGAAATATCTTGTCCCATGACATATGACAAGAGATGATTGTAGTCAAGAAATACACTCAAGCCCTCCAATTCTAGAGCCAGTTTTTTTTTTTTTTTTTTACCTCTATTCTATTCTGCTTCTATTAATATTTCTTGGACGATTTTCCCATTAGTAACTATTGTTTTCCATGCACATTTCTTAGCCCATGCTGTTCCAATGGCTTGAAATATCCTCTTCCATCTCTCCACCCACTGACATAATAATTCATATTCAAAGCTCGGATCACATGATCCTAATTCTACGGTTTAATTTTAAATTAGTATTGACTTTTAGATATATCAGTTTCATGTACATATGTGCACATGCACAGGCACACACACCCAGATTTCTCACTATCTAGGTTCTGTTCATATCTCAGTGACATACAAAATTAAATTCAATCAGCATTAGTAGTTAAGATTTATTAATTTATGAAACATCTTTGTTCTGACAGGCACTCTCCTGGGTGCTAAATTATAAGGTGCCATGGCAATTGGGGTGGGAGGAGAAGATAAATCCTTTCAACCTCCATGTTCAAACCTAGTCTTGAAAATGAGTAATAGTTAGCCACAGAGTCCATATCCATAATGTGAGAAAAACACATCCTGAAGTGGGGAAAGACATTTACACACATTTCATTGTACAACTTTCCTATTTGTTCATTCATTTAGTTAAAGCAATAGTTGGCAAACTCATTCGTCAACAAAGCCAAATATAAAATTGAAATTTCTTTTGAGAACTGAAAACCAACTTTTGCGCATGGGCCATGAAGTTTCAATCACACTGTGCATGTGATATTTTGTGGAAGAGCCACACTCAAGGGGCCAAAGAGCCGCGGTTTGCCGACCACTGAGTTAAAGAATAATATTGTATTAAAAACAAGCTCTTAAGGGAGCGCTTATCCACCTTGGCATCTTTAGTATCCAACATTGTACCATGTATCAGATACTCAATGAAGTCTTGGGGAGAGACAGTAGGAGGATTGGAAGAAGAGGAAGAATAGAAAGCTTAAAATTGCCTGTTCAGGATACGTTAACTTCTACACAGACACTTTAGCAATCTATTTACTACTAACAATGATTATCATTGACAAGGAATATAATTATTAATGAAGTAGACATGTGTAATATGTCCATCTTAATTATTTTCTACTAGAGGTCCAGTGCATGAATCTGTGCACTAGTGAGGTCCCTCGGCCTGGCATGCAGGATTGGGCCGAAAAGGGCTCTTCAACATCCCCCAAGAGGGTGCAGGCCAGCACCGAGGGACCCCACTGGTGCATGATCAAAGCCGGGGAGGGACCACAGGAGGGCACCACGGCCTGTCTGGCCCATCTCGCTCAGTCCCAATCTGCTGGACCCTAGCAGAAAGCTAACCTACCAGTTGGGGTGTTTGCCCCCTGGTGGTCAGTGCACATCACAGTGAGCAATTGATCGGCCTTAGCATATCATTAGCATATTATGCTTTGATTGCTTGAACCACTGACTAGACGACTGGACACTTAGCATATTAGATTTTTTTATTATATAGGATGCTTTCAAGGAGATAATCAGTTCTACCCATGAACTCCAACATTAGCTTTGAAACATATATACTAAAAGTTTATTTTGATCGGTAAGTAGGAGGGGGGGAATTCTCAAAATAAATTATATATAATCACTCTATAAAATATTAATAACTCTTGCATAAAGAAGCAAGACACATTTTCTGGTTAGTTGCATTCAAAGATAACCAGTTAGTTTATAATTTCACTTTTGTAAAATTATATACCAATAAATGTATTATCTATATACATTTACTGGAGAGGTTACATTTATCTGCATTTAACTATTATATCACATGATAATTAATTAATTGCATATTATGATATAGTTGCATACTTGATCTCTAGTTAAACCGATTTTTGGAGAAATTTATATCCCTCATGAAACTATAACATATCACTTTATGAAATAGGCTTACTTTTTAAAAACAAACCTTTTTTTTTTTATTGATTTCAGACAGGAAGGTAGAGAGAGAGATATATATAGGAACATCAATGATGAGAGGGAATCATTGATTGGCTGCCTCCTGCATGCCCCACATGGGGATGGAGCCCACAACCCAGGCATGTGCCCTTGACTGGAATTGAACTTGGACCTTTTAGTCTGCAGGCCAACACTGTCTCTGCTGAGCCAAACCAGCTAGGACAGGCTTACTTTTTATATAGGCTGCTACATCTTTTTAAATCACTAACTAAAGCTCTTTCATTAACATCTTCTTTGCAGAAATTCACAAACTTTTTTTTTTTTTTTTCTTGCAGGCTTAGAATGGAGCATTGAATAAATATTTGCAACTAGCAGTTCTGGTTCTATGCTTTTCAGGGAAAGGTCAGAGCATTTTGCTTCAATTTTGCTGTTATGTTATTTTTGAGCTTAAATGAAAAATAAAGTCCATATAAATTTATGAGAACTATTACTGAGTGTTTTTTATTTTAGATGTGGAAATGCCATACCACAGCAATAATAACAAATACATGATATTTTAATGCATCTATTTTAAAAGAAAAATGAATAATTGATTAGTGTATGTAATTCTTATAAAAGGATTTTATTTTCTACCATCATAAGCAAGTGTTCAAAAGTCAAACTATTAACTGTTTCCCAAACTACATACTTTCTCATCTCCTTAGATAGTTTTTTAATTAAAAATATCTCAAAAAATGCAAAGATATAAAAATGCTGAGGAAAATATAATATAAAATGCAAACAGTAACTTACTTAAATTTGACATTTGCAGAAAGCAAATAATCAAACCCTATAGGTTTATGTTAAAATATAGCTCAACTCCTAAAGCAGCCTAGATATTCTCCCAGGTTTCAAATGACAAATGATCTGTCAACATGCATTCTGTTAATGTAGAGAACCAAGGTCTAAGGGTAAAATTCTCAGCTGGCCTGGTGACTTTCTGGGGAAATTTTATCACATATATCTTTGCAGGATGTCATATAAGTTACTAGCAGAATTGTTTATTTCATATAGATGATACTAAGATATACACCATATAAAACTGCTTAATTCCAAAGGCTTATTAATGTTGCAAAAATAATGCAGCCAAGTTCTAATCAAGGAAGTTGGGGGTGGGAGGAGAGGAAAGGCAGGTGAGTTAATCCACTTAGAATATTGTAAATCAAACTTCACGGCCAGATGCCCACTTAGGAATTATAAGATATAATTAATAGGTGATATAGAAGAGATCTATTTGGTGGCCATAGATATAAATTTTGTGTTATTTATAATTGATACTACAGTTTATATAGTCTACCAATTTTAACAGACTTTTCTAAAAACAAATGCAAATAAGTACAGGAAAATAACTTAGTATATGCAGGTATTTTATTTCAAGTAATATCTCACTCTGCCTGATAAACATTCCAGAAGTTAAAAAACAAATATTTCATTTGGTTGATCTAAAAATACAAATATTGAATTGTGCTTGATTAAATCCTCTTTCATACACACACACACTAGTTACCTAGTGCACAAACTTCATGCACACTAAAAGAAAATTAATTATAGGAAATATTTTAATATTGCTATTTGCCCTTTCTCCATAATACAAGTATCAGAGATGAAAAAAATTAATAAAATGTATATGAAAATCACCCTCCTATCAGAGTCTGGGGCATGCTGCAGGACTTAGAGTCAAATCCTTGCCCATCACCCGCACACGCTTTGAAAACTCAGGAGACCCAGACCCGGCTGGCCCCACCCCCATTGGGTGAGACCTAGACTGCACCAGCCCCACTTGTCAAGCCCCTTCAGGCAGGGAACTTAGCCTCAGGTCCCCCAGCCTGACTCTGGGTGGGAGTCACAGTCTCAAGTCCCCTGTCAAGCCCCGAGGACGGTCACAGCCTGAGGTCCCCAGGCAAGCCCTTCATGGGGGGGGCATGGCCTGAGGTACCCTGGCATGACACGCTGGGGTAAGGGGGCATGGCATGAGGTCTCCTGACATGGTGCTGGAGTGGGGGCCACAGCCTTAGGTCCCCCATCAAACCCCGCTGAGTGGGGCATGTGGCCTGAGTTCCCTTGCCCCACCAGGCGCCATGCAGCCTCAGGTTCCTGCTGTTGGGTTATGACTTTAAGTCATTCTGGCTAATTTGCATATTGCTCTAATATTTATATTCCAGACAGGGAAGGAGCAGGAGAGATAGATAGAAACATCAACGATGAGAGAGAATCATTTATTCTTCTGCCTTCTGCACTTCTGCATGCCCCCTTCTGGGGATCTAGCCCCCAACCCAGGCATGTGCCCTGACCTGAATCAAACCATAATGTCCTGATTCCTGGGTTGATGCTCAATAACTGAGCACAATGTTCAGGCATCTCTTTCATATATACTGACATAAAATTTTCCCAAATTATTCTGAGATGTTTCATTCACTAATTTATGTCTTTATTTAACCAAATTTCTACAGAAAGAAATGACAGAAATTTGCATTTGGGGGATGAGTCAAGAATAATAGAACTATTTTAAATGAAATAAAAAGAAAAAAATATTTGAGGTAATGACGTTCTAAAAAATAGGGATGAAAGCTAATTGGCAGGCTAGTTGAGAAGTAAGTTCTGTTTCAGATATATAATTATAAAGTAATTTAGATAATGTATAACAGTACTATCATCTAGTATCTATTGCCCATATATTCTAGAATTTATGCTACAATATTTAAATGAATTATTTTGTTATCAAACTCCCTGTGGAATAGTTACTATCTTCTTTTTTTACATGATAAAATTGTAGCTAAAAAATGGGCAAAAGATCTGAACAGGCATTTTATCAAAGAAGATATACAAATTGCAATTGCTCATATAGAAAGATGCTTGATATCATATGTCATCAAGGAACTGAGAATGAAAACACCGAAAACAACAAATGCTTGTGAGGACGCACAACAACATGAATTCTCATTCATTGTTAGTGGAAATACAAAATGATACAGCCACTTTGGAAGACAGTTTGGTGGCTTCTTACAAAACTAAACATGCTATTACCATCTAATCCAGCAATTAGACACTTTAGAATTTACCCAAATTTGTTGGAAAATTTAATGTCCACACAAAAATCTAAGCACAAATGTTTATAGCAACTTTCCACATAATTTCCAAAACTGGAAGCAACCAAAATGTCCTTCAATGGGTCAATGGATAAACAACCTGGTATATATCAATACAAGGGGATATTATTCAATAATAAAAAGAAATGAGTTATCAAGCCAGGAAAAGCATATGAAGTAACCTTATCTGCTTCTTCCTTCAATTAATACATCATTTTCTAAACCTTTCTATGGATATCAGTTCTTTAAATACATATAATCCTATCTAATAAAAGAGTGATATGCAAATTGACTGTCACTCCAACACACAAGATGTCCACCACAAAATGGCTGGCAGGAAAGGTCAGTTGTGGGCAATCTGGCCAGCAGGGGAAGGCAGTTGGGAAGGACCAGGCCTGCAGGGGAGGACATTTGGGAGTAACCAGGCCTACGGGGGACGAGGGGCATTTGGGGGCAACCAGGCTGGCAAGGGAGGGCAGTTCCTGGTTACCGGGCCAGCATGGGAGAGCAGTTGGAGGTGACCGGGCCTGTAGGGGACGATAGTTAGGGGCAACCAGGCCAGCAGGGGAGGGCAGTTAGGGGCAATTAGGCTAACAAGGGAGCAGTTAGGGGGTGATTAGGCTGGCAGACAGAAGCGGCTAGGGGCAATCAGGCAGGCAGGCAGAAGAGTGGTTGGGAGACAGCAATCCTGGATTTTGAGAGAGATGTCTGACTTTCCATCCCTTCAGGGGTCCCAGATTGGAGAGGTTGCAGGCTGGGCTGAGGGACACCTCCCCTTTACCCTCATGTACAAATTTTGTGCACCAGGCCTCTAGTATCTAATAAATGGTGGGAAAAGTATAGCTCATGATAAATACTATTATACAAGATTTAAGCCTATACTAGTTAAAAGCATATGCTAGGATCTTAATGAAGAAATGTTCCTATTATCATTAAAAAAAAGGGAAAAGTACATTTACTATTTTTCAAGAGAAACAGACAGTAAACATTCAAAACTTCAATCAGCCAGAGGCAGATTTAACATGATACTTAAAAAGCTTAAGCTTCAAGGACTTTCACTAGCAGGCATCTTTTCCATTTTAATAAATTTGATTTCATAATGTTGTATTCGTTTTTCCCCTTAAAGAGACTGTTCTAAATGATGGAAGCATTCATTCCTGCCTAGATTTGCTCCTGCTGGGTGCAATAACATAATCAAAACTTAGACTGCAGACACAGTTAAAAAGAATTGCCATGACCTTGAGAGATTATTTTATAATTCATCGGTTCTTGATATTGATTAACTTTGGAAGAAGATTATACATTCTGTCTACCTTTTACAGACATTTCCCATTTTGCCTCCAGTCCATAGCTCATTCATAGAAATTGGCCACTGAACACTGTTTCTTAACCTGATCTCACGTGCCCCATCTCCACCCCCCCCCAAAGCTAGTCCACAGCACCTAGCAATTACCTTGACCTTCCTCACATTTCCATTCTTCTCTTTCCTGGGGGACTAGATAAATATTGTAGACAATGAGTCTTTGGTACTCTACATTGAGGGAAAATTGTACTTATCACCTGAAAAAAAATGTGTCACTCCACTCAGTGGGTGGTAAGAGATGTGTTTTATCATAGGCTTGACACTGTCTGATAGTGTTTGCAGAAATCACCTTGACTTCTCAGGGCAAACTGAAGCAGGTACAGCAGTTGGGAAGCTGTGGTAAAAGACAATCTCAAGCAAGTGTCTGTGAAGATGTATCAAAAACATAATTTAAAAGTCAAATTTAACAGGACTTGACAACTGATTGGATTTAGAAGGTGAGAAAGACTGGAAACCAACCATTTCTTATTGTTAGAATGATGAAAATGGCCATGCCATGAAATTTTTCCTTGTACTTCTTGTAAGAGAGGGGAGATTAAAATAGTAAATTAAATCATAACATTTTGTTTTCTTAATTTTAGAATTACAATTGTCAGACAGTTTTGTACCCTCGAGCCTGCCAACTTAAAGTCCTAGCAGCCAGTAGCATGAAAGAAATAACCATCTTCATCTAATCATTAAACAAAGAACCATACTTCATGCTAAACTGTCTCTTCATTCTGCTAAGCTCAAAGGAGATGTTATGACTGAAATGTCACCTCAAATTCCATTTCGATATCTGAAATTAATTATAGCTTCTGTGTTTTACTCGTGGTCAGACAGAACACTGTCTGGGTCTCAGCCAGCTCGTCAGATTAAAGAAATCCATGATGTGCATCTTAACATAATTGTCTCTCCAAGGCTCCTTTCCGAACACATAGGATCAATAATCTTCAAGTGATCTGATGAGGTTAAAATATAGTTTTAATGGAAGCCATTAACTTTCCTAAAATAAATAGGAATCTGTTAGAATGCAGCCATAATTCACTATTCTTTTCTAGGAATATCTGAGCAAAATAGGCAAAGAAAATGTACTTTATAGCCTGGCCAGTGTGGGTCAGTGGTTGAGTGTTGACCCATGAAGCAGAAGGTCATGGTCAGGGTACATGTCCATGTTACAGACTCGATCCCCAGTAGGGGCCACGCAGGAGGCAGCCGACCATTAATTCTCTCTCATCACTGATCTTTCTATCGCTCTCCCTTCCTCTCTGAAATCAATAAAGATGTTTTTGAAAGTAATAAGAAAAAGAAAATGTATGTTATTAAGGACTTTGATGAGACAAAGAACTATGCATATTGTAAGATGAATAACCATATGGCCTGAGTAATGCAATTGAAGAAACTCAGAGTACTTTGAATTAGAGAGGACTCAGGAAATATCATCTCAAATACCAACTGTGTCGAAGAGGGAAACTAAGGTACAGAGGAGTAACCTCTGTATATGTGCCAGCATTAACTATCTCTACCTATGACACAATTTTGTTTATGGATGATGTCAACACCTGAAAAGTGAAATGGGAACATGGGCTCATTGACCACATAATTTGAAAACAATCAAAATCCCAGCTTTAAAAATGAAGAGTTGTGATCTTGTTTAAGTTACCTAGATTAATTTAATTCTCAGTATAATTTTTGTTATATTTTTAATTACCCTTTGTTTTAATTAACAGCTCAGGTTGTTAGAAAACGTGAAGGGAATAGCTATCTGTCTCTTTCCCTACTGCCATTTAAAAACAGTATCTGTATTTCAGTCCTCAGCTTATTCTGAGGTCCTACCAGCTAAGGTGACCAGATGTCCTGCTTTTGGAATCGGGACTTTTTAAAACGCTATGGGACATGGGACAAATTGTTAAAATTAGGGACTGTCCCGCCAAAAGCAGGACGTCTGGTCACCTTATACCAACTACATTGACCTCTACTTAACTAGGGTAAGGAGACAAGTAATAGAACTATGAGGGAGAATGAAAACATACTATTGCACAGTTATTTTTAAGTTTAGTAATGTAGACCTAAATATTATATAAAATATATTATATATGCAAGCATATCTAGCCTAGAGCACTTTTTGCTGTAATGAAATGGTTATGTAAATTCTACTTTCCCACTGACTTTAGTTTGAAGGACTTAAACAAAATATTTTACCCCTAAATCTATCTAGTAATTTAGAACAGATGTTCTTGATTTTGAAAGGATATAAGGTCTCACATATCTGGAACAATAAACAAGAAGAGAGAACAACAAGAG